ATTTCATGCTCAATAATCCACACGGTTAGCTAGCGTGAGTTAATGGCGGAAAACAGAGTGAAATGGAGTAAACGGCGAGATATTCCGCTTAGGAACACTCAAAAGCTCTCATGTATACCAATGGCAAACGATCTGCGTGCATTGTGTTATCGGGTGGCGTCGACCGGATCCTCGTATCAGGATCAGATTAACTGTTAATAGAGTGACTACTGGATAGTGCAAAGCCAGGTTCCACACATGAATAGTTCGATATTTTGACCGCCTTTTTCGGAAGGGGGGGGGGGTAGAAATTTCTACGAACCAAATTCTTATGGCATCCAAGTTCACGTTTTTAAATCAAACTAGCTACCGGGAAGTTCTGCCGAATGCTGAGGACTCTTCACTTAGCAGCGAATCGAGGTTAAACACTGAATCCTAAACTATTTCCATGTTTTAGGGTATACGTGATTTTTATTAGCTCACTCACATTGTAAGATTTGGACGCACATTCGATTCAACATACCTTAGATTATTGTCTGAGATGCATGGAAAATACTGTAAATTCCTGAATGGTTTTAGCAAAGTTACGAAGGTGATGAGGAATAAACAGGTCAACTTCAATACCGATGGATTATTCCATTTATTGCTTTGAATAGTTTGGAAACAATTTTAAATAAACTGTTTGGAATTACGAATCACTTGCGCATCTAGCGTTCTTCTAAGGTGTGGATATGCCGATTTTATGTCCCAGCTAGGAGCTAAACCAAATAAATCCGATTAATTCACTATGAACAGTATCTTGCATAGGCATTTATATTAGCCAGTCTTCACAAGCATGAATGGTCCCGAATATTTTGTACACGTATTTCTTGTCAGTTTGGATTGGTAGTAAAGATCGCCTAACTAGATTTTTCACCAGGACAAAGTGGTAATCCTCAGGTTTTAAAATTAAAACACCTGTATGTGTTCGATGAAAGCGATTCGAACTCATAAGTAATGTTACCTCAGGCGGGATACTCCAACTGAAACATGACCTGCCCTTTTTACAGCACATTCCGTTAAAGAATATCATTGAGAAGAGATGTGGTTGAATTACCATTGAGCCTATCCTTAATAACAAGTTAATTTACAAGCGAGTTATCACTCCCAAAACGCCTGTATCTTTTTGAGGCTGGATTCAACCGGCTTTAACCAACTGGCTTATTCTGGACACTAGTGCTCTCTGAGTTCCTCTTAGTTTGTCGCCGATTGGTTGACACAAAATAATAGTGATATTGTTAGGTCTTACACAACATTTGTAAACCGAATCAGACTGATGTAAACCGGTGTCGCGTAACAACATACTCAAAGACACAACAAACCTTTTCTACTGGATTGATGCTGGCTTCTAATTGTTTAGAAGATCTGACACCAGTCAGCTTCATTGGAAACTTCGTCGTTTAATCTAAGTGATCCTACACTTAGTGACCCAGAAAAACCTTAGGTATTTCACTCGAGTTGGGATTATCGAGCAGTGGATATTTCACGAATATCTAGGGCAGTTTCATCTTGCTACTTTTCAGCTAGTAGCCCAACTCTCTACTGTTTGGCCATGTATGGCTGGTCCATTGTTTGGCTAACCCATACAGGCGGAATGTGACACCATCGGCCTTCAACCATGCATGATCACCCACCCACATGATCTGGTGTGGGCTGTCCGTCCGAGCGATAGCTCCTCAGATAAAAGGCCTGCACTGCTTCAGTCAGTTTAACATGTATCAATCCCTTTCTGAAGCGGTTTGATCGAAACTTCATCAACTCCCCACTGCCTACAAACAACAGCACCAGCAACTAATCATGTTGGCTGATTATTATGTGAACTATGGCATCGAATAATCTTGTTCTACCTGATTTTATTTTCTGAGATATTAAGATTGTTGAACATCAACCTTTGAGCCGCCGATGGCCATACCCGTTATTGACTCTGTTCCGCGAGTAACTGTCTGCCATGAAGTGACAGTGGCTTTTGCTAAAAGAGAAGGCCAAACACGGAGTATCCTTGTTTTTTTTCCAAGAGGTCTTACGGGTATTTTGAAGACAAACTCACGAAGAGTACCCCATATATCTTTAGTGTGGTCCTTTTCGAATAATGGCTTATTATGGAATTTTGATGGTACTTAGCGTTCATCAGTGGGGTCGAAGTGTCTCATATCTTCACATTCTTCCTAAGCGGACTGATTTATGATTGCGAATAAAGGGCTCCAGGAATACTACAGAACAGCTCACAGAGTAGGTGAACAATAACCACAGAGGGATTCATTGACGGAATGCGCCCAGTTCCTGTTTAATTTTCTCAAGTTGCAAAACTTTTCACGATACTCTGGCGACAAACGTTTCGGACGTACTCTGATATACAAAATACAGTCTGAAATGAAATGAGCTGCACACCATGAAAACACAATTCCTAACAAAAATTTGAATGCCACTCAGAGGAGAAACCTTAGAAGCCCTCAATGAGAGGGCGGATTTCTGCCAGGTGACTCTATGTCGCCCAAGGTAAAAGGATATCCACGCAGTCTACTGCCATTCACAGTTTACTGCAATTCGAGCTACAGGAATTAACTTCTGGAATCTTCTCATCACGTACAAAGGCAAACTTTCGCAAAAAGGTACGCATTCAACTAAATTAACTGGGTTACTCAGTAAGTCAGTTAACACAGAGACAAGTGATGCGGATCTGTGCCATTAGGGATGTGACTGTTACTGTGTACTGTTAGTAAAATTGTTGATTTGCTAAGTAAAACGGGCAGATTTGTCAAAATTTTTGAGTTAAATTTCACAGTTTAATCCGATCTAGACATTTCCACGAAAAAACCATCTTATATCGTTATATGTTTGCTGAATACAGTCTTAGCAAAGGCAAACTAATCTTGTCGGTCAACGTCGTAAGTAGAAGAAGCCTATTTTAACCGTTTGATGGTGTAACGTTCCGTAATTGGAAAGAGGTGGAAATGCAAATTCAATAGTATATTTATTGAAGAAAATGAGTTCCAGGCCAATGAACAGAAACTTGGATCGTCAAATTTCAGATACCTTGAAATATACGCACCTAGATCAGTTGGGAACAACTGGTGTTTGGGCATTTTTCGTCGAGTCCTGAAACGATAGTTCTATCGGTTTCCAGTTGTGGCTAGTCTGACTAGCTAAATCTTGGTCAGTCTCGCCAGACCCGTCTACGAACGATGAAGTGCCAAACTACTCAAATGTCTTAAATATGAAGATTCACCAATTCTATAATCCTTCTAAATCTCTTTTGATATAGAGAGGATATCACCGTTGAAGTTTTTCTAAAATGTGCCTCAGAAGAAGCATCTTTTGGATGTGGAAAATTGGCTGTGGCGTCCACTCCGTAGACAAAGCTCCCGTAACCCCCTTGACAACTACTGATATATCAGCTTGTCTCCGACCATTTCTGCATTCATGGCATTTATGGTCTTACTCAAAAAGTGAAAAATCGAATAGGCTTTTCCGAGATTGTCTACGTAGGAATCAAGTTTAAACTACTCGACAGACACTAGAATGCTTATGTACTATTGTTTAGGCCCTCGTTTTGTGATACTCCTAGATAGCAGAGCAGCCTCTGATTCCATAGACACAACTTTCCCATAGAACTAACCTTTAGGTAGGGGAATAAGTGAAGTTATTTTGTAGTGTTGGCGTTAAGTTAGGGCTGGCTTGTTTTCACCGGAGTGCAACAAGCTCGACTCATGGTGCCGTACATGCTTTTCGCCTCTAGGTACAAGGAGGTACTTCAGAACTGATTGGAGTTGGTGATCCGAGGCTAAGCATTGCTCGTGGTGGTGTCAGTGGCACTAGAAAGATATCTCGCTTCGCAGTTTGCAAGAAATGGTCTTCGATCGACCTAAAACATACCACTTTAGCCTGTAGACAGAAAGATCACATTAAATCAACCAGGATGATTTCGATATGTGCCACGCACATCTCCCAAACATGGGTGAAACTTTTGCCTGGAAGAGAGAATAAGAGGGAAGGTCAAAAACTTAGTGTTGGATAATGAAGATGACCGAGTCAATACTTTGTAGCTGTAGTGCGTTTGCCAAGGTGGGTCCCCACTGAAACAGAAATTAATCTGCCTTACTAGTTAAAGATATGGTTGGAATCATATTCGTTGGCGCAAGTGATCTTCGTTTTGTTAGTGACCCATGTCAAGGAAATGGAAAACGCACGCAAACAAAACAGCGGAAGTCATTGATAACCTAGTATATAAGGTAATTTCGGTTTTTTTTGTCATCACCTGTAGGGTATTCAGTCTTTTATAGTCTTTATATATATACAATTAAAAAGGTCTTTGACTTAGTTGGCGAAGGGACATGTTCACCTGTTATCGGGTGAATGCTGCCAGCCGATTTGAAAGCCCCTATTTACGGTTCGAAGCCAAGTCGATTGAATGGCTGTCTACATGGCATCCGAATTAGATAAGATTGGGAGGTTAGCAAGGAACTTGGGAATTGTGATTTCTGCGATATTACAGAGTTTGATCTTCAAATATTCCGCCAGGATTCCCTCCCCGCTGTTTTATCCGGAAACCCCGTTGATACTTCAGTAAAGCATCCAAAACGAACAATTTTCAAATGCTATGTTTTTTGCTAAAGATGTTTTATTTGCAAGTTCATTTCACACTGCCAGTATGCACCAGTGTATATCTTTGGTTATCTAGCTCATGCTGCTCAAGCTTTTTGCATCCTGACACAGGAAGGCAATTAGTCTTCACACCAAAAATGAACCATTTCGGCATGCCAAATCAACCGGTAGAGAAAGTAGGTAACACTTGTCATTCACGTGACCACGCAAATTTTATTTTCGGTTGATATTTCCCAAAGCTTCCGTTTCCTCTTTTCTGTATTTGGACCAAACTCTACGCTTACAACTAGTCATGGGATGTAAATATCGACTGCACCCACTGGTTTTATTTTTGGGCCATTGTTACTTTCATTTCCAGGGTTTGCACCTCAACTGCAACAATGCCGACTACATGTGGATTTCCAAACTGTCGCTTTCGTTCACGATACCGCGGCGCTGAAGATAATCGACACTTCTATCGCGTGCCAAAGAAGCCCGCCGTATTGCGCAAGCGATGGTTGGATGCCATCGGAAGAACAGAGGAGACTATTGTCAGCCAGGTAGGGGTCTGAATGCAACTCAGATGTTCCAAGCCTCTATAGATGATGAGCCGTCTTCTGACGGTAGTGATAACAGTGTTACGCCCTAGAATTCCTTCCTAATCTGAGTGTAAAAGGGAGAAGGTTCAATCATTTGAGTGCTTGAACACGTCTCATTTGAGTTGGGGACTTCGATCAAACGTTAGTCATAAAAATGCTTTCATACTCCTCTATAGCATGTCCATTCATTAAGACTTCCTAGCAGTGACTCTCAGGTTAAGTTTTGATTTATATATATGCGACTGCATAAGAAGAATGTGACAAAGGCATAACGTGAAAATGCACCTTTCCACTTGTAAGTAGCAAAAACCGAGTAAAAATTCTAGACGTTTTCGAACCCAAGCATAGATGTTGACTTAAAAGTGACCAGAACGTGGATCAGGAAATTTGTCGAGAGGTGCCTGTTGTAAATTCGAATGTCTCAGGCTGGAAGAAAACAGAATGCAACAGATGGACGCTACACCATTTTGCGCAGTGGCTAAGTAGGTTATAAAATTCACCATTTGGAGTTGTAAGAAAAGAGCAAGCAAATTGAAGAAGGAACGATGTTTTTTTGCTACCAAAAAAGTGGGCTTTGATAGAATTCTAATAGGAGGGCGGAGGGTGTAATGCAGACGTTGGGCCAAAGTTCAACCCTAAGAAGAGTCATTCGATGGACAGGGTCAATGAAGATACTTAATTCCTGATAAGCAGGAAGAAACTGTAAATGTAGACGGCAGACCGCAATTCGGGGATTTGGTGCCACCAGTAAACGCTTGCAGAACTCATAGGATGGACTTGACATTCAGTGAAACTGGATCTTCAAGCAGCACGCACAAAGCCCGGTAGTGTATGTTGGAACATTAGAAACTGTACTATCTGAGTTTGATGGTGCCCGCTGCAAACAGTCTTACGCGCTACTCTAAATTTCAGTGAGCGGAATTCAGCTGCATCCGCATAGTTCATATTTTTTTATACAGGAACTTACGATGGAAAAAGTGTACCGCGGGTTTCAGTTGAACGTTGAACCGGACAAATTACAGCTTCCAAGTTTGGAGTGGAAAGTGCATAGAATATTTGGGATAAACGAAGAAGCGCCCAGAATATTGTTAGGCCGTAAGAAATTTATTTTTTAGAGGCAAGAGTAGAAAACTGAAAACCTGACGGACCGATTTGCTTTGTTTAAAGAGTAAGGTAATGCATCAGGTGCACTGTTATTTAGTAATATGTTTTAGGTATAAATATGTAAGAACTGAAATAGTGGATTTGTGTGCTAAACTCACAAGTAGCTGAAAGTCCTCTCAGTTTTAGGATTTTCACAAAATGTCACTTTAAATGCCAGCTTAAATACTCTTTCTGCTTGAGACATATTTTTATCTGTTTTAGCTTCGAGTTTGTAGTGGTCACTTTCACGGAGGCGAAAAACATGAGGGTGACATTCCTGTGGCAGACCCTTCGGTAGACCCCCTAGTACGAATTGAACTTCCACCAAAACCAGCCCGAATTCTAAGCACGTCCGCAGGGCCACGAAGTGGATTTACTTTGCGAGGAGGAAGGAGCCGTGGCTGTGGTTCAACTCTCAAGACCAAACCAAATATATTGAGGTCAGGGATGATGAGCTTTTTCAATCGAAATGGAACCTACAATGCCTTAAACACCAACACCACAAAGTTTGCTAACTCACACCCTTCAAATTGCCAATATGGATCATCCACTACTGAGCACCGCCCCTACAACAAATGGCTACTGAACCCGTTTGCATTACCGTTCGAGGAACAGGCTTCTCTCTCCGATGTCCCAAAGTCTCAACATGACATCGGGGATAACCCGGTGGCTCCTGGCAATTTCATATCAACGGCTCAAGGTAATGAAAAGAGGTCCTTCATAAAAAGTCAGTCGATAACGCCTGGTTTTAATGCATATAACTATGATAACCTCATATCCCCAGAACGACCTGCGCAGGGCATGCGTCCACATTTCCCATTCACTCCCCTTCTACCATTATCTCATGGATTAGCCAACATTTCGGCAAGACCCCACATGGCTGGAATATCTTTCAAATCTTCAGTGAAGTCTTCATCTTTCGAAGGTTTATCTCCCGTAACCGACTCTTCCCACAAAGCTTACCTCACTCAACATCCAGCTGGCGGTTCGCAACCCGCAACAAGCCTAGCCGCCCTCAAGTTTTCCCAGTGGATAACAAGTTTACAAGGAATGTTTGGATCCAAGAACACTGATGGGCATTTTAACATGCAGCTGTTTACTAATATGTTTCTGAAGATGCTGGAGAAACATGCACCCATAACCGGACCGTGTGAAGCGATGCAGTCGGAAGCTTATCCATTCAATTTCCAGGAGACACCAAAAGTATGCGAGATTAGTAGTAATGAAGCAGCAGCAGCAGCAAATATTGGTGGAAGGCAGTCAAACGGTAAATTGATGTCACCCACGTCTGAGCACAGTAAGTTTGGTCAATCGAAAATGCATCAGAACAGCTTTGGCGGATGGCCTTCACTGGGAGGTAGTAGTTTTCCGGCTATGCAAGTTCACCCAATAAATTTAACTAATCCAATCCACCAGATTCGACAGAGCATCCATGACGACATCTTCATTGAGAACACACTTGTTTGTGATCAGTATGACAAAACCGCAAAAGCAAGGGCCGAAGCAAACAGTTCAGACAATCAAGTAGCGTCGGATATCGTTCGGCGTCCAATCAAACCGCCCTGCACAGGACCAGGATCGAAAATTGATCAGGAAGAATCGTCCTTGGTTCTCAGTGAGTCTAGCAGTAAGTTACAAACTAATTAAGTTTGCAAATACGTCGTTTCACCTGTTATATGTGAATACGTTCACATACAAAATGCTAATAAAACGGCATTCATTCACAGATTTCAAACAAGAATATATGCTGTAGAACAGAGTTAAAATGAGAAACATCGGTAATAAAAGCACTGAGAGTTCTTGAGCAACCGGGGGTCATAGACTGGTGTTCATGGAATCGCAAGAGAAAAGTCTAAATAGAATTTGAGTGATCTTTGTTGACTACCGAATGGAAATTAATTCTGGTTGTGTTTGGCTTGGTTAGAGTATTCAGGATTTTGAGCTCAAAAACCTGATCAGATTCACTGAAAGAGTTCAGCAGCATGAATCCTCTATTTCCAGTGGGTGATCCTCAGGTGGCCTTCATTGCCGTTTTACCTAATACAAGTTACTTAACCTTTCTGACGAAGTCAAAAAGTGTTAAGAATGTGGGGAGAACGTGTTGCCACTGCTCCAATATAGCAAGATAAATTTGAATTAGTAGTATTTGAATTATCATATCTGAACAGTCGGACATGTGCACACTCGAGCGATATGACCGTTTTAGCCGTCATCTCGAACGACGTCCCATCCTGCTTGTGTCGATCGACTGAGTCATCTGTAAGAATCTTTCAGTCAGTCAAGGACGCCTGAAAACTTCCGAACGAATACTGATTAGTTGTGAATGGTTACGGGACTTGTAGCTGAGGTAGGTCCAACGTACGCTTGTGAAGTAGCGGTAACATATTGGCTTCAGTGTGACCAAGGGTATACAGTGCTGGTGAGCGGTAATGAGATCCACAGTTGTGCCCAGCACTTCTTCCATTTTTTGCGAGCTTACCAGGGTGACTGCGCTAAGAGAGGCTGTTCAAAAGAGAGCGGTGTGAACTATCCGAATCCATCGAACACTTTCAGCTGATAATAATGTGTGGAATCCCGGAATTTCCGCGATATTTGTTGGAATCCGACACACTATTCTTCAGTGTAGACCAGCATTGTCAGCTTCATGGAAACTTTGTTTGAACCGATGTTTCAGATGATGGGGGCTTAGAAAGCTACCCATAGAACGCAAAGGAACGGACTAGGTTAATTACGGAAGGAAAATTTGGTTAGATCTGATAAACAATATAACACTCGGTGGGGCGCATTTATCACGAGGTTGCTGACAACGCTTTGACAGTCCACAACCCGCTTGTTCCTTCTCAGGGATCATCAGGTGGGCACAGTCCTCGAGTTTCCGTCAACTCTTATTCTATTCAAAAGTCAGCTTCTACGGGAGGCACTCACTAGCGAATTACATCGCTGTTCCGTCATGAAAGTATCTGGGAATGTTTCGAAAATCGCGTCAGCTAAAACATGAGGCGAACTTTGTGTAGGATATCCCAAACGGGGGATTCACGTGAGTCAAACGAATTCACAAGTGAGTGCATTTCGCAAAAAACTCGGTTCGCTTCTGACGGACGCAACAGGACATGTCGAGTGTTATCTTGTCAGTCGTTTTCGTTTTCCACTCGAGAATCGTGGAAAGTTAGGAATATCTTCGAATCCACTACATAAGATGGAACCGGAAATGGCTTCACTGGGCGAGTTTAATGCTTTGCTTTGCTCTGTTCTCGATTGCGGTTGGCCACCTAGAACTTCGAGTACAAATCCATTACACGAGTTTGTTTCATTAGACTTGACAACTTTTTCAGCTTATAGTTGGAAGTTCCTTTTTCTTACCCCTCGGGATATGTCAACAAAAACCGCTCCGTTGCTTTGCAGGTGTGGCCTAGCTTTCGAAAAGAGCTTGAAAGTACGCCAAATTGTGTAGTAATTCCAGCCCTCCATCTAGACACAGCGATTTATGTAAGATTGAGCACCACCGTTGCCGCCACACAAGGACAAAAGTTTACGTCCTGTTAAGTGATTCAGGGAAACGTATCGCTGTTCCTTTAAAAGGTTAACTTCCTTTGTTGTGACCAGGCCTGAACAATACTTAAAGTAAGGATAGACTAACTGGTGGGACTGCAAAGGGTTATCTACAGTGTTTACCATTTGTCTGCGTAGATAGTTCACTGGTTAAGGCACGAACTTACTGGCCAGAACGTTCGTGGTTCAAAACCAGTCCCGGTATCTCGACTGCTTCTGGGTAAGCTTGGATAACATGGCAATACTCATCTCTTGTACTTCCTTCCGGTGACATGGTAGCTAGACACCGAAAAATTGTTGCAGCCAAGCGATTAGCTTTCGTTTTCTATTACCGTACAGCTTCAGTTTTTGAGCGGAATCAGTCCCTCTAGACGTATTTCCTTTGACACATCCGAATTCAACATCTGGGAGTACGCAATATGATTATGTACGCAGTAACTGACAGTTATCTTCATCACAGCAGTTTAGTCTAGTTTATTTTCTTTTTACAGTAGATGAGGAAAGAGTCTGGCACATATTTTGGAGTTCGGGCTTGGTCACAGATCATCCTTGTTTGGGCAACGACATGTCTTATTTCTCAGTTCCTTCAAGTTTGCATTCGATAAAATATTTCAGATTTCATGGTCCAGGACACATTTTCAGCCTTATTATCTTACTCGCTGAATTTAGAGGAGCAGCTGTTTGAGAAACATCAAGTATGTGTTTAACTTTAGTTGATCTGAAGTGGATGTAGCACTAGTGTTTTGTCAAAAACCCTGACCGTCAGAAACTGGGTAGCGCAACTAACCAGAATTGATGCGCAGTGAAGCGTACAGCAATGCGTTCTAACTGAATCAGCTGGATAAGGATATCAACCATCAAACCCTTCACATGTCTAATCAGTTAGAATGATTTCCATTTGCGGCTCACGGTACTTGTGGTTTTCGCAACGGGTAAGGATCATGTGATTAGGTGTATGAGTGTAGCGAGGTTTCTGAATGTTGAATAGCCCCCTTTTTGTAGAAAATGCCGATAATTCTGTCACATGAACCAGTAATCTGAACACTGGATATTGTACTTTTGGGACTTTTTGCTTCATGTTTGAAGATGGAAGTACAATTTGAAGGTAATTCCACGGTAAACAAGACCTGTTTTCGAAAAAGCGATTCCAAACAGCTGCGATACACACTTAAAAACCTTACGGAGTTGGGCTGCAGAAATATTGAATACTACGGTCTTCATTGTTTCCCTATCCGAGCTTTCAGTTAGACAGAAGCGAAGGATTATGGTGCCTTCGAAAGTCATAAGTCTACGGGAATATGGTATTTGGCGAGCCAAGCAATTCCATGGGGCACGAGGCGGTTAGTTCCGATGAGGGTCTAATGAGGGTCACTCAAGTTATGCCTCCGACAGACCACGCCTGTACAGTTAAGTTTCACAGTGTACCATCTACATTTGTCCCTAGCTAAGGCAGAAGTTATCGATTATTTGACGTGAAAATAATCAGCTTGCTTTAACTCATGGGATGATTTGCAGGTCGGGATGCAACGTTACATCAGCAAACTGGTCTCAGGGCATTTGATCCATCATGGTTCTGTTCACACAGTGCCTCGACCCATACAACCCATGTTCAAACTCTGCACCCTATTCCTTGGATAATCTAAGTGGATTCCATCGGTTACATCAGTCTTTAATCAGAAGAGGCTTAGGTAAGGCAATGAGCAGAGAGTAGTTATTAGGCTCAATTAATCAGAAAGAATAGTTCGTTTCAGTTGAATTTATAGTAGTTCATGTGATAGAATTTCGTAGTTTTTGGAAGGCAACAGGTATCAATTTGAGGTATGATTGAAAATCCTGTGATAAATAGCCTGAATACCGGTGATGCTGGCCAATATTCCCATGGGTGGATGCTAAGTGCAGGTGTGGGTATAAGACATATGAACTTGCTTTTTTCGACCACCTGAAAGTAGTTTTGTTTATTTACGCTCCTGGATTTCCTCTAGCGATTCTCAACAATTTGCAAAAGACACCTCTATCGTTCCGGCTTTGGTCGTTGCTAATACTGTAGGCTGTTATATCAGCATTATGTAGACAGTAAGTAACCAAAGCGACTGTTGATTGATTTATCCAGTTAGTGTTAGCGACCCTTGCCATTGTAGCGGTTTTCCGTAAGAAGTACACTAACCCTTCCAGAATCCGATAATCTCCACTTTTTGTAGTGTTTCTATCAGCGAAAAATATTCCATACCGCAAAATAGCTTTTTAAGGAGAATGGTCCCTTTGGGGCTCTTCATTTTGGAGGGGCTCCTGTAGCCCTTGAAAAACAGCCGAAAAATCCTTATCTCGTCTGAGAGTGTAAAAGTTTCTTAAACTTCAAATGGTAAAGTGATACACCGTTGGCCGGATGTTATTCACAAACGAAACAAGTTTGCCCAAATGTGATGCTTGGAATGTCCATTTCCTTGTAGATTCTGCTGCGTCACAACAGAATGGTGGTGCACAAAAGCCCATTGTTGTATTTCGTGGAATTTCAGACGGCTCCAATGAACTCACCGTTCTTGAAGACATTGCTGAAGTCATAATTATGTCGACACATGTGGAATCGGAGCGACTGGAAAGGGTAAGAAAATGGCTACCGCCTGCTGGGTAACTTGTCCAAAACGTTAGAAGGTGAATATGGTAACTGCGAAACCCTTAGCAGTTAGTTGCCAAACTTTTACAAGTTAGAAACGATTGCAGCAGTAGTGGTGGACAGTGACTCATGTATATCATGTATACTTCTGACACCAGAGATGAAAGAACGTGATCTGCGACCCGTGATAGTGTACCTCGTATTTGATGATACAAATCGAGGTAACTTCACACTTGAGCCTAGCCAAGAAACAATTTTTCATCCAAAGTAACCGTTTTGGATTTCACTCATGTGCTCATTTGGACCAACGAAAACCAGGACCCACGGTGTTGAATCGGTTGGCGATGTAAGTCAAGTTGGTTTTCCAATTTGATCAGTTGTTGTTTCAGCCAAGCTTAATATTTCGTTGGCTCGATGCTGCAAAAAGTTTTTCTCAACGAATTGGACCTTCGACTTTACCTTCATAGCTATTACTGATCGTCCTACGTAGAGGTTCGATAATAACATGATCGAAACGAAGTATATGCACTAAACGTCTGGTAGGATTCTGTTGGTAGTGAATCTCTCCATCCAGTAGTAAAAGCACTCATAGACGTAGAAATGATTCTGTCTAAATGGCTTTATTTCACAAATCTGTAATTGTTGTTTCGGAGGATCACAGAGTGAAAAGCTAGTGATTCCAGATGTTGGACTATCTCTTAGAACAATACCAGTCACTTGAATGCACAAAAAGCACACCAAAGTGGTCTCATCCAGAGGACGACCCATTGTTATCATATATCTCTCATGTGTTGGAAGAGAAACTTTTGAATCTTTCTACATAGAGTCCTTTGTCAGTCAAGTCATTTCTGAAGCGGACTAGAAGTCGAAAAGACAGCTGTGCTTCGGTTTCAATGTGATGAATGGTATGGGGTGCTTTGCTCGTTTTGGGACTTTAGTGAAGTTTGTTGACTCAAGTGAAAAATATATTCTTATTCACACTGCCACTTCGGGGTGCACAGAAGAAATAAGACAGAGTAACTGCATTGGGACAATTTCCAAGGTAGTGTTTAGGATGTAAACAGTCGTGGGTTTATTTTTTGCTTTTGTCAGGAGCGAAAACTTCCTGTTGAAAGTGTGAAACAGGCTACATGAATCCAAATGAATCACCCACTTTGAACTAGTCAAAGATAGTGGGTAGACAGTACACATCATCCGTTTCAGGTTTACACCGAATAGCTTTAATTAGGGCCTTTAGTTACTTCACAAAATCACCACGTTTCGTTACGTAGCAGGGTTCCTAATGTGTACTGCTCCTTTTTGGATACAGATTGTGGGCATAAAATTCTTTAAACAACTTTATGAAGTTATAAAATGAAGAGACGATTTCTGGAACAAGACTGAACAGATACCACGGAAGACATTTAGGTGCGCTGCTTGCGAATACGCTATTTAAAATGAACATGATAGCAGAGGTGTTGTGGAAATGTGGAAGTAAACGTAAGGCTACCTGAGTTATTATTTTTAGGAGGTGGAATGTAACAAAGATAACGTGCAATGAAAGATCCAAGGTTTTTTTTTGAGTGGAATACACCATTGTTCACATGATGCGGTGAGAAAAGAGAAGGTGCGACGTCAGTCCTCCACTATTTTTTAATGAAATGCCTTTGGATGGCTACTCCGTAGTTAAGACCGTTTGAATTTGGCAACATACCATTATATTTGGCCCCACTAGGATTTTAATGATCCCACGTAAGGTCGATAGGAAAAGTGTGATGCTTCAGTACAGGTATCATGCTGTGGAGTCAAGAGATACATGAAAAAAAGTGCAGACCTGATAAAACATATACTTGCCGTGGGATTCCTTCTCAGTGATGGTAATAGAAGGGAGTAAAACCTGGAGCACGCCTCCTTCAAGGATACGCACTGGTGGACTTAGACCAGGAAAGTTAAAGGTATTTTAATAAGTGTGATCATGCAAGCTCTGTAACTACGTAGTTTCCGGATACAGCGGCAAGGAATGCTCTTCGAAGCCTTTTTTCATAGAGGAAACTACTCACAAGGCTGCTGAAACTCTTCGACAGCCCACGACCGGTTTAATCCTTCTTGGGACTCATCAGGTAGGTGCAGTCCCCGAGTTTACATCAACCTTATGCTCTACTTCAACCCAAATTGGACTGTTTTCGAGAAATACGCTCATTTGCCGATCAATTCTGTTTTCACTAGAGACTCAACTGAATCTCTCTTTTATGAACATAAGGTTGACGGAAACTCTGGGACCGTGCCTACCTGATGAGCCTCAAGAAGGGTGAAACCGGTCGTGGGCTGTCGAAGAGTTTTCAGCAACCTTGTGAATAGTTTCCTCTATGAAAATATACGGCGATATCTCAAATATCGTGCCAACTGAATCGTGGGGCGGCCTGTGTTCAGCGCATTTAATCGTAGAATATCACAAACTAGAGATTCAGTCTCTCGTGAAAACCAAATTGATTTGCAAGTGTGTGTATTTCTCTTCGAAGTCATTTAGTCCAGTGCTTGCTGGAAAAGCGCTTTTTTTTGCATGGATCTCGATTTGTTCTTCCCAAGAGATTTTCACTATTCACTCAAACAGTTAAATTTTATATTTGGTTATTTACGATTAGTCCCCACAAATTATCAGTGAAGCATCTAACTAGTTAGGAGAATTGTCCTCAGTGTCTGCGGTTTCTATGTGTGGCAGCACTTGTAAAGAAAGAACTACGAGATATCTCATATAAATATAACACAATTGTCGGAAAGAATCCGAACGGAGCTGACGAAAATGCGAAAACAACTCCAATCTCGGAGGAAATTTTCATTCACACTTACAAATCAAACGTCGGCGACTGAGAACAATTCACGAGCAAAATACTGTAGCTAGGCAAGTGAAGCTGCAGCCGTAAACTGCTGACACCAGCTGGTTCTAAAACAGCTGGTCTGACTGAGCACCTGCGTTACAAGTACTGATTAAGGAATACAATGTTTGTCAAATCGGGCGGAGATTACTCTTAACTTATTCACTCAGGTAAGCACGTTACAGGAGCTGGGAGATGGAAACATCTTTCGTCCTCTTTCAGTTAGTGAAAGTGAGGCAACCTTCACCCGTATAACTGAGCAGAGCTTTGTTATGCCTACCATTCTGGCTGAAACTTTATTCCTTTGATTTTCCCGTTAATTATATTTCTCATGTCAGCAGAACTTAGTGATTTAACCGGTAGTGCATTTCGGCAGTACTTCACTGGATAGTTGAAGGCGGGATACACACTTCAGGAAAAGTCAGCCGGTCATGAGGGTTGGGACTTTTAGAGGGGGCCCCATGTTCCAGCTTCTTAAGGGATACACTTTTAAAAAACGGCCAAACCGCCAAGCCTCTGTGGTCCATAAGAGGCCAGCGGTCGTGTAGGTTGTCGCAGGGATGGCGCGATAGGATCAAAAATACCCCGGTAAAACCCAACCTGCTTTCTAACCTCCCGGAGGATTGCATGATTTATGTAGGTACACTTATCGATTAGTTTAGTCCGGATGGCGGAACAGTGACCTCACCCATTCTCAAGGTTTTATTAAAACATATGTTTGTTCCTTTGTCCTACTAATCTTTACAACTTTCTCGGGTAATTTTTCAGTAACCGAGCAACCACTAATAATACCTTCCCACAACATAGATGATGGGAACGGATGGGTTCAACTTAGCTTCCAATTGTGTGTCATTCAAGCAGTAAAACGACGGTACGACACCAGTGTGATGTAGTGGTGTATTGTAGGTAAGGCTTAAACTTTCGTAAGGCTTGACTGTGCCTATCAAGTAAGATAAAATATGGCTCGAAGGCCTTAATGTCAGAACTCTGAGGACCACCCTTCAGAACTCGAGATTCCAATAAGCTGGGACTGGAATTAACATATGTTACTTGGTTAAGGGTATCTTTGTACAACTTATTTGGCAATTTATGCCTTGTATTCATTCGGTGAACTCACTAGCGGACATTCACTTTCCTACTTGCACAGATATACAGAAAAGCTACGGATCTCGTCATCCACTCTGATTCGAAGCCCTCTCGCGACCAGTGGAGTCGGTTTGTTAATCTGAGAAGCGTCTGGCTGATAACAGAAGAAAGATGTCCAAGCATTTGTGATAACCCAGTTCAAGGTGAGCTAAATCCGCTTTCGAACGTTTGGAAAACCAAAAGTCCAAAAAGTTATTTCTATTCTGACGCGTTTTTGTGCCCATTTAACTTGGCTGGAATCCAGTTTTATACTTCGAATTTTGGTTACTCCCAAGTTGTCTACATTCTCAGATGGTGAAAAAGGGCAAAATAAATTAAGGCCAAATCATTATTTCTTTGATACCACGAGGTACATCTTTTCTTTTGTTCTGTAACTAGGCTGTTCCTCCCCCATTTTTATCTAAAATGCATGTTAGCACGTGGGAGCTCATTAGAGGCCTGGTGAGAAATACTGAACAAAGAGGTGTATGGTGAAGCGAACAGTTTTTAAGCAGTGAATTTGAACCCAACGGGTTATACGGGCCAGTTATCCCGACACATACACACACAATCAGTAGATCAGATGACCAACAAATATTTATCAATGAAGTTTTAACAATGTGCCAAAGTTCGACTTAATGAGGTCATCTTTCTAGCTGTTCTGGAAAGACCACACCCTAAAGATGGTTGGATATGTAGATAGGCTGGAGTTCAATTTCCCCGCCACCAAAGAAACTGTAAATAGAGCTGCTCAGCTCGGGAATCATGCTGGCGAAGTTGGGTCTCTCAAAGCGCTTTTAGTTAACTGGAACGCATTAGTACTGCTGTCATACACGAATATACTCCAAGTGAGTTATTCTGTCAAAACTCAAGTCCTGTCAATACGTAATACTAGTAATCAATAACCAAACAGTCAGTTTTTGCATTGAAATCCGGGAGATATCATAAGTTTAAACAAGGTTTCCAAATACTTACATAACTTTGATGGATTATGACCTGTTTTGAGTACAGAAGCTTACCAGTTACGGAGGAACGTAGAAGAATCTAGCAGTGTTTGTAATGTAGTTTCAACGGACCGGCATCGCCAGATAAACGGTGGGCTATGACCTGGAAAAGAAACCCACCACACGTATTGTTGTGCGCAGGTTGCATCACTTGGATATAATTAATTGCTGTTCACTCTAAGCCTTTTTATTATTATTAGTATTATTATTATTATTATTATCACCATCATCATCGTGGACAGCACGAAATCGGTGGTTAAAACTGATGCTTCACTGACGTACATTTATTTGTATACGTGCAATTCATGGTTGCACGTGGGCTGGGATGCTGCCAGGGCACCCACACCAAGACAGGGAGACGATTAGGGTCCTCAACCAAAGCATTTGGCTCAAAAGCCTGACCGCAAGGCAGCGAAGAGCGGCGTTTGGCTGAAAATGCAAGTTCATTACCATTTTTACGGAACACACACCCAGCCTGGAGGACCAAGGGACTGTGTTCGTCAAACCTCTAACTAGTGACCAACCTGATATGAGAAACTCTGCAGTGTCGCGCGGACACCCCCAGTATAGCTCAGTGGGCTGCCGAGGTACAAAAAGCGTCACGCTACGGTAAGTTCCAGTCACTTCGTGAGGGTTCTAAACCTCAACACTCTATGGTCGCTGATCATTACGCATACGAGACGTAGACAACCGGTTTTACTCCCATTTTAGGAGTTAAATTCAATACGATTCCGCGTGAGCTCTTCAATGTAGAATTGCTTTGTGAGTTTATCGTGAGCCTGCTCCTGGTGACAACCAATCGCGTCGTGCAGTTCGGGAGGCCACGTCATGTCTCGCTGAAACGGCCATTTTCCGTTCCTTTGGAGTTTGGGGAATCTCGATGGCGCTCGAGCAACACACCTCATAATCGAAGGGATCTTCTCAAGAGGAACATGGTCATACCGAACTCGGGAATAGTGGACGACAACAACTGGGATGAGCTGCCTCTGGTAATGCTTCCCTCAAAAAGATGTTATGGACAATCGGTACGGGAGATGAAAATTGGTATCATAGCCCAAGGTAAGAATCGAATATATTGGCTGAAATATCTTGTCAGTACTGACTAAGCGATTTAACTATTGAAACTTTTCGCCTAGCACATCAGCGTCTACTTGCTTAGCTACACCAAGGGGCATTTAGCAACAACTGAAAGTTTCCTGAATTAAAGCCAATAGCCAGGGTAGTGGCTTGCATTTATTTTGAATTTTACACATTTGGTCGTTCCACACCATAGAGGCTGTTAGTTTGAAGAGGAATTTTACTGGTATGAGGATATCACTAGTAAATTGAATTTTCGCAAATTGGTAATCACAGTCTCTTGATAAACGTCCCTTCACCGGGTTAGTTAACCGCTTTATGAAAAACGGGGATATCCGGCTGCCTGTTCCATCAGGGAGCTCGCAGTTGTATTCAGAGGCAAGCGGACGGCTCAAGCGCTTCTAAGTGTTCTGTTTGTTTAATCAACCGTACCTCGTCGTTCCCATATCATTTATTAGTTCAATAAGTCAGACTTTTTTCGGAAGCTGTTACCGGGTTCTTTTACACTGTTCTGCCATTTGTAATTCCAGCTATTCTGAGTAATACATTCTGCATACCATTCAGTTATTATGTGTAAGCGAATGTTGCTGAACAACAGAATATGATTTACAAACAAGTTTAAAACCGATGTTTTTTCGCGTGATATTGCAAAATGTCTATTTATCAACGCCGCGCATACTTCCATTCAAATGAAAAGTCCCCGGTCAATTTTCGGTTGGTCAATTTTGTTCCACCCGTACATCATAATCTCAGTGTACTCCGAGTTGGCTACGAATGGTTTTCTTCTACAAGGAGCATTGATTAGGTTGAGCATTAGTGGGGCCCAGTAATCATCACGTGAGGACCAAGACATTAAAGTATTTTAAAAGTTCATTGTTTTATAGATAGGCTGAAGTCCCTTGCCACGATCGTTACTGTACAAACGCGAAGGCTTTGTAAGCAGGACCGCTACCCAGCCTTGCACTTGGTGTGGAACCGATTTTCAGCACACCAAACAGTTGCTGCAACGAGAGGTTGCATTCTACCGCTTGATCTTGCGACTGCTCCAATCGATCAGGCAACAGTAGCGCGGCAGACGTCAGTCATGACCTGTCTCGCCCAAATATGTCTATCTCTCGTTCTTCCCCAACATATTAAGGCGCATGCATAAGCTTAGTTCTGCGTTACAAAGTGAAGACTAACAGAGAAGCATGCAAAAGCTCGTCAATCCGAAGACAGCACGTAACGTCTCCAGCTATACCGGCATATTTCCATCCAATATTAGGATAATTACGGTGGGCTATATTCTGTCAAGGTGGTCTCCTTGAGCGTGGAGACATACGAGTAGATAAGAACAAGCCAGATCTTTGGACTGAAACTAACGTTCAGTTAACTAATGGTTTGAGTAAACTTACAAGCATTTCGTGGACTTTACACAGCGGATGATACCGATTGGCTGTCTTTTTGAGTTCGAAGTCTCAAAAAGTGTTACGTTGATGTGGTATATTTTACGTAGGATATATGGTTCTTCACTTTGTGTAAAGCACGGTTAGTGTAGTTTTGACATGTGAAAACCTGCATTTCCTCAAAGAAGTTCAGAAAGTAACCGGCCGATTTGTTTTCAAAACTTTTTATAAAAAGGTGACCCATCAGTCAGTTTCTTCATATGATAGAATTTGCAAACATTTTGAGTATGCAATGGTACATATGCTGCTTGAATGCATCAATTTCCCCTCCATGTAATTCTTCCGGAACACGGGGGTGAGAATAGGTCACCTTCACTAGGTTCGAGTTTACCCAGGAAGCCTGGGCATGCACAAGACTCGATGGAAAGTTCCACGAAAAGCCCGCAGTTGTCAAATGGTAAGCGTAACTTTACGCATTTAGGTGCTACCGTACCAAATGGCATAACGCCAACGAGATCACATGTCTGATCACATGTGTGATGCAACGCCATACAGTCTAAGTGTTCAATCAACCTGCACTTTTGGACTATTTTTGTTGTTTGCTTGTGGTTTACGTGTTGGTGAAATGGAAAATTAACGTAGTATCTGGCCTCGGTATGCCACATAAGAATCTGGGCATCTTGCCACAAGTGAAGTTGATCAGTTTAAATTCTTTTAACTAGCCTAGTTTTTTGCGATTGTCTCGTGCTCTTCTTGGGAGTATTCTGTGTCTGGATGCACACTGTTGGCGCAGGTACAGTAATATTCAGATCGATTCAATGTGGGTAAGCACAGTAAGTCCTCAAACAGAAGGCATCAAATAGAACTGGGATTTTTGGCCTCATCCGAGTGTGGCGTGGTGCATTTCTTTGAAGATTGGTTTAAGAAAGTGTGCTTTTTCAAAATTACTTTACATTAACACGGGAATTGACAACTACCCAATTCAGGGTGGGAGAAGAACTTTGCGATCAATCGAAATTTTTCAAGTGCATGTTATTTTCATTTCCCAAATCAAAATATTGATCAAGAAATCAAGGTTCAAGACACAGCCGCCACTTTTGAATGAACTACTCGGGAACGACAACACCTGCGACGAAAGGTTGTCGTGTTCCCAACAGTTTACCTATTGAGCTCTATGCAGCAACTCAGGGGAGACAAAACAGCTTTTTACCAAACGCTGCTTTAAAAAAGGCCGATTTTTTTTACGGAACACCACTCACGAGAGATTTGTTTGTTTATCGGGACACTTAAACATTTTAGATTCTTAACATATTTCATGTCAATAGAGCACTATGCTTTGCCCACTTGTTATTTTGCTGTTTGTTGGTGATTGAGTGGGGCAATTACGGGCACATCGTGTTTGGACAGCAATGGTCTGTTTGGAACTTATCTGTTATACTACGACCGCAAGTTATTATATGAACAGGCACGTTCAACATTAACACCTATGTTCATTCAGATACGCTTATCAAGAATCTGGTGATCAGCTTGTGCGCATTTGATTGTACAATATTTGTCCATCAATCCAACTGGACAGAAGACATCGGTCAACTAGACCACACAAGACGCTTTGTAAACATGGAAGAAATGGTAGCGGAAGTTGACTGGCTAGTTGTATTGGCCGGACACAAATGTGTTACAGACGAAGTGGGTACTTTCGTGAATGACAACTCTGGCGCAATTCAACTAATTACGGACAGTCTTCTGCTGAAAGTGAAGCAAGGTGAGCGAGTTCGTATCATGTCACGGGACAGAACCGTCCTCCTAGAATGACCTTTTTAGGAAACACACTGCCAGTAATTAAAAAAAAACGGGAATTTTACTGCTGAGAACGCCTCAAGGGACGATCCTTCATGACATCTCTTTCTGAATAAGACCAGCTAGCCCCATCTTTTCATATTTGAGTTTAACATTAATGCTACTTCATTCCCAACCGAATGCCAAAACAGGCTGCTTTATACAACCCATTCCATTTCAGCTAGGTGCGTGCGAAAATTCTTTAGGCTGATCGATACTAAATGGAACAATATACCCAAAATCCAGGAAGGTGCAGACACTGCGCAAGTAACTGTATACTGGGCAGGTTGTCTGATTTTCAATGTGTTTATGTGGCAAAATTCGGTAACGCTAGAACGAATCTTTGCTTTGGAAAAACTCAATGGTGAACTTATAGTCAGCTTCAAGGGGGTTTTGACCAAATGTAGCTTCGAAAACTGGTATGTGACCCAAAAAGAACGATCTGGAATTTGAGATTTAATAAAAGCTCCAAGGGACCAACTGAATGAGACATCTTTGTGTCTCCTGGGAGCGGTCGCTCCATAGAAGATTCGCGTGATTCTTAGCTTATATATTTGCATGTCTAGTTATTAAAGTTTGTCTAAGTACAGCTGAGTTTCAAGACTTTATTGGCTTGTGAATCAAACGCCATCAACTTCTCACAGGGAACGTCGAATAAAGACAACCTTTTTTCTGAAGTTTCTCATGAAAGCAGATAAGAAACCTTGAAAAGGAGGAATTCCCTTAATCATCTCGTCATACGAAACGAAGCGCGATATAGGTTTCATTTACTGCAGCCCGAAATTTGGCGTTAAACGCATGCTCACAGCTTGCAGTTCCTGTTTTTGTACATGTCGACTGTTGGAGAGCTGCTGGCAAAAAAGTCAGGGAAACTTAAATTTTGCTGACCTTCGTCTGTGCGGCATAAAGTGATGTCACTAACAGGGAATGAAGTCGGCTTTTAGCGCTAGTGAACTATCCAATGGACAGTGTTATCAATGCCAGTGACGTTGGTTTAATCAGTTGAACAAGGATGAATCAAAGTGGGACTCACCAAAGTAAGCTTCTTGACAAATGTTGTCTAGGTAGTAGCAGTCATTGCTGCTTTCCTTGTGAGGATGGAAACAAGTCATTTAAATCTGAACTGATTAGCCTCTCAAACAAAGGCGTCTTAATAGAAGTCATGCAATTTTCGAGGAAGCCGGATTTCTAGCGCGTGAAGCTACAAGTATGATACTTGGTATGTCTAAAACGGCTAAAGTTGGCTTTTCGAGACCAGAGTGGTTGTGATAAGTGAATCGGCAATGGGTTACTAAGACATGGGGAAATCCTAGAATGCCGAATGCACGGAAAGCCCTTGAAATGGAGGGATGAGTTGTATGTCGCCTACAGTTTGTGACAAGTAGATGACGAGTGGATTTTCACGCATTTCGGCCCTCTGGGATGAGGGCAATAATGAATCAATGGACGCAAAAAAATCAGTGTTGCTTCGTGATCAGTCAGAGAACTTCTATTTGCGTTGCGTCGAAATCATCAAGTTTTGTTGGACGCTTATTACGTGACTACTACTTCTATAAATCAGTAAGCAGACCGAAATCTGGTTGTATGATTAGCTGAAACTGAAACGATCAATTCAGCGTCATGACGAACGTTTTAAATGGGCATGCAGGATTTTCATTTCGACTGCCATTTTTGAAATGTTTCGCTGAACAACGAATTATCACAGAAACAGAGCACGGGCGTTGTATCGTATGCTGTACCACAGCATTAGGGGTACGATTTTGATTTAGAGTCAAGACGGACGGTCTGGTAAATTTGAGTGTGGTAAATGCAGATAACAAGAGGGGCGTTCTTTTCGATAGTGGGAAGAACATTCGAAGCTCTACAGATCGCGTTAATATACATCAGTAACAGGCACGACATGAGTCTACTCCTGCATAAATTCACAGTGGTTAGAAGTCACTCACAGTTGTTATCTGAGTACGTACAAACTACGCAAAACATGGATAATCTAGACCATGGCGAGTCAGTTAAGCGTGCAACTCATAGGGCTTAAAACGCTACTCTGCCTATGGAAGATACCATGCTGTTTGCACCACATTAATGTGAGTTCGGTGGTATTTGGATATTTTGAAAAGCTTTTGTGCGCGTGTCATGGGCTATTTTACTTCATCTGATCAGCAGATACTCAGCTGTGTTGCGTAGCAGCACGTGAATGAACATGCATTTTGATTATCATCCCTTTGACCTGGGTTATGACGAATGGCGAACTTTTGTGCCATCTGGATGAACAAGAATGTGATGATCCGTTGCAAATAAAGTTATAGGAATCATGGAAATGAATGAATGAATGAATATAGAACTACAGTGTGCTGCCTCGTAATTACTCCCAACTCTTTCACCATCACCCCGTATTTTATGTGGTTATAATAGAGAGAAATCTTACGTTGCCAGCACTGCCTTGTTGTACGGAATGCCCTTCCTCAAAGTTTTCCATCTTGGGATGGATAACTGTTTCGTTTGCATCATCCTTCTCGGAGAATTTGGAATTTGTTCACATTAAATTAATTTCTATACTATATGCATTACACTATTATTCCGATATTACTATTTCAGTGGATGGACATCGTGGCATCACCGACGAGTATATTAACTTCAACACTGAAAATTATGGTTATTCAAGAGTAGTTGTGGAATCTCGTGTGGGTGGTCCTCCTTTTGCCTTGACAGGATTATTTGGGTTAGTCCACACCAAAGCGAGGGAATACCGACTTCGATTTTCTCTTACTAGAGTACGTCTCGTTGACCTTTCAGGGAGTTGGATCAAGGAAATGCAACAGGTGGGACGGGCAGATTGCTGCTATTTGACCGACGTGAGCTCGTCCCACTTGAACCAACACATCTGGATGTTCACTCGCGGCTTATTTGCATACTTTTATTTGTGTGAATCTACTGTGGGTGATATGAAGGCGAGGGGATTTTCGAGTGACATTGAAGTATATCAAGGGTAACCCTCTTTCGATATACTAGTTTGTTAGATATATCAGTTAGTTCACATATCTTGATCCCATCAAATGGTTTTTTGTGGGAACTGTACTCTCAAAACCACCATTCGTAAGCCGTTTCTAGTCATCATACGTATCAACATTCTGCCTTTTTTTAAACTTAATTTAACTTTCGGATATTCGCTAGTATTCTTCTGTATTATTAACGCTGAGGGTTTTTTCCAGTAAGCCGAATTCCTTTTTCTTTGGAAAATGAATTCTTATCTCATTCTCAGAAACAGAGGTGAAGAAGTGACAAATATAGCTTCAGCCTACACCCACTGTAGCCTACTAATATTCAACTACTTTCGAATATCTCGTTTTTCTTGTGCTCATCGGTCTGAGATCAAGAGATTATCATCTGAGACTTGCATGCCTGATGTGTTCGGGTTAAATATTCAAGTTATGAGTAATTTACGTCCCGTGTTGGCTGTCAAATGAGTGTAAGTGCTGCTGCTGACCAGATTGTTGACATGAGTTCTCCGTCAGTCCATTTGATGCACTGCGGTCCACGAAGGTCTTTCGATCACCTGAACTTTTGTCTTGCTCTGCGCTCACAACCCTGAAGCTGCAGTTGAGTTCGCTAATTTGTCCGTTTTTTATCGGTCTGCACACATGGGATTTTATGGCGGATAGTTTCTTCACCGGTCCTTAACTGGCACACAAGCTAGGAAGAGTTGGCCGAATATTTGTTGATTTGCTAAATGACTGAAGACGCACTGAACTAGTAAGACTTCATGATCAGTTTGATCTGTGAAAGTTGTGGCTGATACACTTCCCCAAACTCGAACAGGGGAATTCTTCCAGCTCTACATTATTGCATCAGAATGATGAAAATTTTTTGCAGCCGATTGCTTCATGGGGGACAATGCACTTGGAAATGTGGGTCGATCATCAACTCTAGTGATGACCACTATATGTTCATAACAGCATCAACGTCATTCAGTTTTCGTTCCCCGGCGTGGTTCACCAAAATAATATGCATGAGCTACTTAACGCTGGTATGAAATGAAAGTGTCATACAAGTCCCTGCAAGAAGTTGAAAGCTTGTCTGGTTTTTAATTTTGCCAGCCATTCCGTACCTTAAAAAAGTGACTTCTGGGTATGTCAAGCCGTGCCCACTATATTATTCAGTCGGTGGGTGCAAACAAAGTTACTGTGTGCTCTAGTGTCAAGCCTCGTAACTCGGGTTTTCCATTTAAAGTCATTTCGTAATCTGCCATCCAGTCACTATGCTGTCACACAGTGGAGGCGTTTGGGGTTGGTAAACGCCAAAACTTTATTTATTTCTTACCAAGCTAAACGTGTACATCCAGATATTTTGTTGTACGGAATCGATGGAACTTGTGTGGTTTAGTTGGGAACACATCATCTTAAGCTTTACCTTAAAGTAGTTTCGTGGTTTTTAGATTTTATTTCTGGAGCACTTGGTGTTGAAACGTACGTAGTCATCGACTTACCAACAATGCATGTTTAGTGCACTCATTGCTTATTGGTTTAGTTCAAAACGGCTTAGGTACCTGTGTGTAAGGAACAAGCTGTACGCAAAACTATACATGTTTCCAAGTGAGTAAGGCATGTGTGTGTCGAGGACGGGGATTAATAGACATTGTTGAAAGTAATCCAAGTCTACGGTGCTTTCGGGCCCGAAACGATCAACCGAATTCAGAATCGTAATCTCCATAGCCGACACTCGAATGCTTGGCTCACTGTTTCACACCACACTCAAGCCTACTCCTTCGACCATGCTGTGAGTTCACTGGTTGACCAAGACATGAATTGTGGAGAGATACAACATACTTCACTCTGATACAGTTTCTCCCAAATTATACAATAAGTTTTCTGTGCCTTTAGTAGACAAAATTATACTCAAAAACTAATGAGATATAATCTGAACCCATAACTTGAACATAGAAATGCGTGAAATTTCTATGCTAGCAGTTCGGAGGAACGACCTCGGGGCTTCTGTGAGGTAGATGGGCTTGATGTTGAAAATCACTGTAAATTTAATGAACTTGACTGTGAATTAATCAGTTTTCCTTGAAATGGAAGGTTTTCGCGGCGTGATTCTGAAGCTTATAACCAGGAAGTATTTCTCCTGCTTTTTAACAACTATTTCACCCACTCAGTTCTTAAGCTAAGTTAACCAGATACCTCAACAGAAGGGTTCTTATCTCTTTCTGTCATATGGGTTCCAAACCTTTCACACTGTCAGTGGGTTTGTGTGAGAGTTCGATACTTCTGGATCTCACATCATCATACAGCTTACATCCTTAAGGAGGCCTCTCAAGAATGATCACTCCTCTTCAAGTTGTAATGTATATACCGAAAGTGATCTTTGGAGAATAGATGTCAATGTGCTAAGCGATAAGTAGATCACAATATGCCAACACATATATTATCGAACTGCGTCATGAAATTAGTAATGAAATCACACTACTTACTTGTTCGTCATGTGGCTACAGATAGAATGCCGTTCTCAAGTACTAGATCCCCGAAAGCAGCTCCTTTTTCCGTTGCTCGGGAAGTGGCACTTAGGAAACTGTTGCGTACTTTGGTGTCACGAATAATTTTTCTCAGTTGCTAGTAACTTCTTTGCAGCGAAGTTTTACCACAACCAACTTGCTCCTCAGCACTACATAGCAGATTTCTTTCGAGAACAAATCCCTATTGTTTCCAGGACATTATGAACTGATGATGTAAACGAATTACGCCTTTAGAATGTCCTCTGTTCTGTCGATGAGTCGGGATATTGTCTGGCGTTGTTTTTCAGGCTCTCATTTTTCATATAAGTTAATTGTCATGTCGCAGGGATACCCACATATCAATAGGAGAGCATTTGAAAAAATGTGGGTCAAGTTTCAAGGTCCACTAAATGTTTATGTACACAATTTAAATTTCACCTAAACAAATTTCCGTGCTTCCTTAAAAATCTCAGGTGCATCTCTGCTGTGTCTGTCTGGCAATCAGACGTTTCCATTCGGAATGCACGCCTTGAGGAATGCATTACTCAGCGGACAACTTAAAACGGTGTTACTTGGTGTGGGCGGTGGAGAAAAAGGCAGCCTTGGTATGTTAATGTCCATATTGGTAGTATTTTATAGCTATGGGACATATAAAGAGCGAGTTTACAAAGAATTCCGCAAGTAATTTGAAAAATACCAGTTTAGCTATGGCTGTGGATGTTTTTTCATTGAGTCCTCCATCTTAGAAAACTCATCTATCATTGAGTCATTCGCACAATTATTTTTTCTTTCAACTAAAAGACCAACTTTCCAGCCTAGATTTTTCTACTTGTGCCTCGCTGCGACACTAAATCTTTTGGTCTGCTTTTAGAAAGCTTCACCCACCCGAATTGGATCTACTTACCAGACTACGCAGCCCGAATTTTGTTGAATGCAAAGGAATATTGCGTGCTTGTAGCACGGATAATTCGGCAAAGTTTGCTTAAACGCAAACAGTGTTTTATTGAAGCAAACCTAGGAATGAAGAGCTTGCCGCCCTACTCAAATTCCTCATTGTTTGAGAATCATCCTTTCGTCCAGAGTATCTACGCTAACGACAGCATCCTCAGTCACGGACCAAAGCCGAGTGAACTGCCGCACAGCCCTAAAATGGTGCAAGAGGAAAATGTCACCGCTCAGAGGAAATTTGGAACAGATTCCCCCAGTAAGTATTCTGTATTGGGTTGTGTATATCAGCATATCCCAGAATAACATGGGAAGGGGCGGTACTCTCTTTCGATTAGGACTTCAGTACACCTGGAATAGTGGTAAAAAAGTATCCATCCCTCAACAGTCCAATTCTTTCTGGAGGGTATTCATCATTCAAAAGCTGCGTAACTTCTTTAACCAACTATATTCAGGGAACCTAACCAATGGGCAAATGCAAGTTTATGAATAAGGCACATTGATTCATTCTCTGTTAGGAGAAGCGAGATCAGTGAATTACAATATTTGGCGTGACGAGAGTCTCATCATTCTAACCAGGTAGCAAATGATGAAGACACGTGGTGGAGTAGGCAGTAATTACAGACATTCTAAGTACATTTTAGTATAGCGTTACCCCAAAGAGAGTGTGTCCATAATAGACGTGCTGAAAATCTCGAATGGGCGTTCCTCAGTGCTTCATTAAGGACTTTGAAAAATGGAAGTGCAACGAGCGACCAGTCGACGCTGTCGACTTCAGATTGGTGTGTACCTCAAGTCACGCATAACACTGCACATTCAGCACCACTCAACCATGAGGAAAGTCCGTGTCATTTTTCACCGCAGACAATTAAGTTAATTTATGGCTCCTCAAGTAAGTGAGGTACTTTGGCACAAGCTCACGGTAGTGCCACAATAATTTGGTCGAAAAGTTAGTAATGAAATAACCGAAACAGCGCTCATTTTACTACGCGAACTCAAGAAAAAGAAACATGGTTTGGTATGTGACAGATGTACTACCACCTAAGATTGGCTGCTTGGCTCGACTTGCTCACAGAAACTGTCATGATAATGATGATGATAATATTGATGGTAGCCTAGATTCATTTTATTCACGAGGACGGTATCACTACTAAGATTCGTTAACGTTGTGTTTAGGGTATAGAAGACTGATTCAGCTGGATGAGCTTCATAGGTAAAATGAACTAGTTTGAATAAATATGAGCAAATGATACAATGGTAATGTTGGGAAATTGAGCGATTGTCCGTTAGCGCTGGTCACTTGTCCAAAATGCTCAGTTCTTCAGATGGCTCAGGTAGTTTGCTGACCACCAAGGTTGCAAAATAAGGTATGGAAGAACCGATTACAGTACGGGGTAAGCAATGGACTGCATTGTGCCCTCGGAGTCTCCTTATACAGTCAGAGGGCAAACTGAACTGATTACTAGACGGAGCACACAATAATTAAGGTTGCTAATAACCTTTAGACAGGATTTTGCTATCCTTGGGCTTACCAGGTAGGAACTGTTCCGAGTTTCCGTCGATCTTATGTTATACGTAAACCCAAGTTGTAAGAAGTTCGTGAAATACCATCATTTGCGCAATAATTTGGTTTAAAGGAGGCTCAACAGAACCTCACGTGGTGCGATATTTTGAATATTGTACCAACTCACATGAGGAAACATTGCGCAACACATCCGGCTGGAGAAAAAAACACCATAAATAAGGGATTCTGCGAGGATTCTGTTGAACATGTCGTGTAAATTATACTGTCTTTGACCAACGAATGCATCGGTTATCTTTTCAAACATCTCACCAAGTTATCCTATACTGTGTCCTTTTACTCCAGTCATCAACAATCGGGTCTCAGTTTTCATGAAAGTTCCTCCGCACTGCTAAAATTTTATTCCGAAAAGAGACAGGATACATAGGTTAGATTTTATAATGAAATCTGTTCAATATAGACCACATCATCCAATGTCTCTATCTTGTGGGTAAACTTGACGACTATTCTTACGTAGTTACCAACATCTTATTTGTGGCTGTGACTGTACAATTACTCACAGTGATAATTTGTAATTGGCATCGGACTGTTGCCTAGGCATATGATTTTGATGTCTCTACTGTCTTTCAATCCTACCGGCATTTGCTACAAACGACTACAAACGACTACAAACAACTCTGTTCTGATGTTTTGTTTTCCCTTTCTAGTTTCAGTTAAGAAGTCGAACTTTTGCATTACCGCCCTGGTTACAAGTACCACTCCGGTGGATTACTCAAGAACATGTACAAAACAATCTGTACTGAGATTCGGAGGTATAAAGGAACACGAGACGATTTTGTAGAGAATATATCAGAGTACGTAAATCTAAACCCACGGTATGCCATCCTGTGACAACAGGGGGTTTTCTCGGAATCAGGCGGATGATTGATCGTTCTCCACCATTCACAGTGAACTGTGTTTACAAGACTGGATTTTCCCAATCGGAGTTAACGTGAGCATAGTTCGCTCAACTTTCCAGATACACAATTTCCTGTTCCATAATTGTAACGAAAAGTTTACTTTTTTGGGTGTAAAATACATGTTTTTCGCAAAAAATTATGCCTCTCTTTGCATGCAGCGAAAGTTATTCCATCACTCCATCTTCATTTTGTCCATCGGTTTGTTTATTTGCATCGTTGCAGTTTTGTGATTTGGTTCGCGTAAACACCACAACTGGAATAACTCTCAAAAAATTACGAAACCTTTTCGAACCACTAGGGTGATATGGAGCTAAACCTATCGTTGTAGTCATAAGCTACGATATGTAGAAAAGTTCGCCATTCGGCAACCGGTTACACCCAAATCTGGGACGACCAAGGCTCTTCAACCTCCAGATTAACGTTCTTATAGGTGTTTCATGCTCAAATTGTGGTCCGACAGTTTTAAATCCAATCTTTTGCTTCTAAGGCTGTTTTGTGTAAACCTGTATGAGTCCTTACTAAATAAAATCTATGACTTGCTCTAGTGAGGTAGCAACCTTGTTAATTGAAGCATGTAGTACTGAGAAAGTCAACAACACAACTTTTGAGGGTAAATGACAAAGTATTCCTAAACAACCCTACGGGAAGGTTATCCTAATGGAAGAAGTGATGACATGTCTGTTTCCATCATCAGAAGATTTGTTCGCTGAGGATGGTGGCATCACTGATCCAGAGACTCATCCAAATTGAGTTACTCCATACTATGGAATCACCAGTTCTGTGTTTCCTGTCAGCCACATACGGGCTATCCGGACCAAACTATTGTCATTACCGGTTCACGTAGGTTCATGTGAGCAATCCTGACCGAATCATTGCCATTATATACTAGTTCATGAAAAAAACAAACCCTACAGATACCTCGTTGTGGTTATGCATTTTATCATCTGTCAGTCTGTCTTGTGCGATAGTACGTCAATTAAACTCAGTGCCTATGGCAAATGGATTCTTCCTTCAAGAAGATAAAGCCAGGGTCAGATAACCGGTTCAAGTTGACCTTGTCAGTTAAATCATTAGTTTGCTTCAAATAATTGAAGATGACTAACATTCGGACGCTCCTGCTAAATATGTCATTTCAAGTAAGCTTCCTTGATTCACGTTTTTGAAACTGAAACTTTAAATGATGTCGGGCTGTGACTGTTCAAATATTACTGGTGTCGCTGCAATTGTTGTGCTCCTCTGAATGCATTGTTCTTACCCGAATAAGAAGAGAGATATTGTTGAAGTGATCCGCTTGCTGGGGGTTTCCGAATGCCACGAAATAAGCTTTGGGCCGGGAAATTTCTAAAGAGGATTCGAAGCCGTTTCTCACGTTGTTCACTTATCACAGTCCAAATGTTGAATCAAGAAGTAATGGCGGTGGAGTGGCAGGGAAATTTCTGTTAAACTACCAAATGCAGTGAAGTGTGCAGGACGTATCAGTTGAGTCCTCTTCATAACCATGCAGTCAGAAATGTTAGAAAACTAAGAAATCATGAACTTGCGTAAGATGGTGTATTTGTGATCAGGATATTGTATGCTGCTGTTCAGCAGACTCGTCGGCTTTTCATCTATATTATCCATGGGTCGTTTTTCATGAACGATGACTTAGTGTGGGTGAGTGCACATCTGCTATGCGAAACATATCGCAGTTCGTTGGTGCTCCACACAGTGAAACATTCTAGGTGTAAGCGCTGTGCCGCGGTTCTACTCATTTATGCAATTTGTCTATAAGAAACTCGATCGGTCGCAATAGTTACGTGATAAAAACAGATGAACTCTATGGGTTAACTGACCTACCGTGAGTTCCTAATGAAGCACGTTTCCCCACAAGAACTATATCTGATCACAACGCCCCTCTATTGAAATATGCTTTAATGGAGAACTAGTTGACAGTCCTTACTCCACATTTTCCAGAAGCATAAGGACTAGAAATTTAGACTCATTCATTCAAAACCATATTTGATGAAGAACAACAATAAAATGGGAAATTTTTGTACTGCACTACTAATAAGGTTTCTGAAAACTCCTCGACAGCCCACGACCGGTTTCGCCCTTCTTGGAACTCAGTAAGTAGGCGATGGAGAGTACCTTTTTCTGGGTCTAGAGGGAAACATCTTTTCTACAGTGCACAAAACGTTACGAAGTTCTCTCGTTCTCTCCTTATTTTTCTCGTTTTCATCCATCATCATCACATTTTGAATAGACGTCACCAAACACAGTGGTGTACTGAATTTTAAACCTCCATATATTCCGTGCTACGGAGGCACAAAGCGCCCGTTTT